TACAGATCTGCCCCCGCAGATTTTTAATGCAGTATTTTGTCACCCTGTCTTTTGATTCATCGGACCATGTGGTGTTAGTCCACATTTTAACTCAAAATTTTGCACTTTGTCTTTAACCATGTCCTCAACATTGCCTTTTAAAATTAATATTAGAAACTTTCCCATTTCAATCTCCCTACATTCTCCTGGCATTGCATTATAATTTTGTGCAATTTAATAATACTGAATTAGACATACATTTATTTTATTTCTACAGAAGTGTGCTATTAGTTTACTACTTTTAATAAATGAGCAAGCTAGCAATTGGAGATTGTATGTTTGTATATACATATATAGACACAGTGGAGTGCATTGTGCATAAGTATGTGTGCATGTATAAATCGACATTGTTAATGCCCAAGGATTTAAGTGCTCAATTTTGGCTTATTTTACATTGGTAGCTCATAGTTTGAGATAACGCATGGGTCATTAGAATGAAATTTTATTTTATTTAATCTCAAAATGATTCCATTAATTGTTAGCTAATATATGTCCACTATTCATTTTATGAATAATTTCCTCTCCATGTAATATCAGCTTATTTAAAATATTTATTCAACTTATGCAAACATTTTGAAAAGAATATGTAAAATTAGGTATTGACCAAGACCACATTTAACATTTTCCCCTAGAAAGCAGTACAAGTTCTTCAGATAGGCTGAGCTTTGGCTTTTTCCTGGACACGTACGCACTGTGTGGCCTCAGCTACTTACTAAAGAGCACAGTACGGAGGAATAAGTGGCGGACAAGGTGATGCATGTGAAATACTCACCCTAATATCTGGTAGGCATGGAACTTCCCATGTGGTAATTTCATTTTTTCATCATCTTCATAACTGTGCTTTTGCTTAACTGTATGACTTAGAATTACAGTGCAGTTTATACTGAAGTGTTTCTTTTCATTTGCTGAATTGTAAAGAGAAAATATCACCTAATTTTTAAAAAAAGTCATCTGATACTATACACCCTCAAAATCTTGTATGTACATATACCTGTAGATTTTCAAGTTCAAAACCACCATCTGGCCAGGTGTGGTGGTGCACGCCTATAATCCCAGCGCTCAGGAGGCTGAGGCAGGAGGATCACCATGAGTTCGAGGGCAGCCCTGGCTACATGGTGAGTTCAAGGCCAGGCTGAGCTACAAGGCGAGACTCTGTCTCAAAAGAAAAAAAAATCAAAACCACCCTCTGGTGTGATCATCAGCTTGAGTAGGCAGCGTCTGTGAATCTGTGTGGGGTTTGTCTTTGACATGGAAGGCACAGGAGCACAGTGAGCCAGTCTGACCCCCTGAGCAGACCTCCAGAGCATAAAGCTGGCCTCAGGACGTGGGCTGCACCATCATCTCCTGGACCTCATGCAGGGTGTCTGTCATCTGCTTCTCAGACATGTTGCAAGATTTGCATTGTTATATTCTTCCTCTTTTGCTTCACAAGCCTTAAATTGCTTGAGTCAGCTTCTTCAAATACCACTCTAAGGGATTATTTTAAAAACACAAATTTGTTAGAAAAAAACATCTATGAAGAAAGTAAATGAACCTATCACACAATCCTTAAAAGAAAACGACTGCAAGTTAATGGAATAAAGTTTTTTTTCTACTCTAATTTAAACAAACACTAAGAATAAAGTAAAAGAAATTGTCAAAAAGAATTTTAAAAAAGTCAATTGTCAGAAGACTTGGCTATTACCTTACTAACTAATAAGAGAAAAACCAAATTTTGGGGAGAAAAAAGAACAAGACCTTATCATAAATGTTTTAAAATAAAAATAGCAATTATACCTCAGAAAATAGGTTAAACTTTATTCAACTCTTTGCAACAAACAAACAACCATGTCCTTGTCAAGAACTTAAAGTTCTGGACACAGGAGAGGAGAAGCTGCACGAAGAGAGGTGTCTCTCACATGCTACTCTTTCTACCAAAAGAAGAAGTACAGATTTTGGCCCAGAAATCCCACTTGCCATTTTCAATTTTCTAGCACAGGAAATAAAGATGTATGTACAAGATTTTTTTGCATGTTTTGTAAGAACAATGAACTAGAAATGATAATAGTCTTTATGAATACAGGACTGGCTATTTAAAAGGCAATACATCACTCACTATGAAATATTTTGCAATAGATAAAGAATTAACTCCACTTAAGAAGTAGGAATTCTTGCAAAGAAATAATATGAGAAAAGGCAAGTTACACAAGTAAGATGTGGTATGTTTTATACCACATCCATATGTGTGTAAGTTTAAACCATTTAAGTGATTGGCAATAGTTCACATATCTAATTTTGGTTATTTCTGAGGATTAAAAATCAAGAGTTGAAAGGGATATTTCATTTTGTACTTTTCTATAATTTTCAATTTTCTTACTTATTTAATGAATTTTATAAAATAAAATTTTGCCCACTAGAAATGATAAATACGATTATTTGTGAAACAAAATCTATGCAAATAGGCTCTGAGTCCTTCCTAATTTCACTCTTTATCAGTTCCATGAAGGAGCTATTTGCCCTGCAGCTAAGGGGTAAAATAGCCACACCGGAGCCATTCACTTAATAAATGTTCACAATACCAAGCAAGTCCTCACATCTGGGATACAAATAAGCAGTACAATAGCATCTCATTTCCCATCATTCACACTAGTTTCAGAACATGGCTATAATAATGACTCTGTATGTCCGTTCAACTCCTTGTCGACTGGGAGGCTTCCCCATCCTTGTGACTCAGTAGCCAACTAATAGACGTGCTCGCCTCATGGAGCAGCGCTCTGGCGGTGCATGGTCGGGCAAAAGCTGAGTCAGGTGAAGCTTGTCCCTCGGTGACAGCGACCTGCAGGACACAGAGAAGAAGGAGGAAAGCAGGAGGGGCTGCAGGAGAGAGCACTGAAGGCTTGGCATGCTGGCTGCATCGTTCTTATAGCTTGTGTAGTTCTTCTCACTCTTTTAATTTGTTTTTTCCATTTTTGACTAAGAAAACAGAGCAGTGGATATAGTACCTTGATTGTGACAGTCACTTCACAATGTACATGTATGTTGAAATATCGCACATGCGTTGAATCTTTGCCCATGATGCTTGAAGCATATCGAAGCTTTTATTGTATCACTGGGATTAAGGTTACCTAGTGCCATCGTGGATTTATGTCAGGCCACATGGAACCTCACATAATGCACGTCTGCAGAATACAGTAGGTATATGTTCTTTAGAAAGGAAGATGGGGCGTTCTCTCATCTAAATTGGGCACAGCACTTTCCTGGCCTCGTGTTTAGAGTAGAAAACTTTCTCAAAATCCATGGTTGATTCGGCAGTGTGTTTTCCCAATCTTGAATGGTAAGCTACTGAGGAGCTTGTCTATGGGATTTGAACTCAAAAGAATTACCTCTGGGAACGCAAATTTGATTCCTTTCATAGCTCATGGGAGTATTTGACATTTCTCTCTGTAGAGACAGAAGATTTAGATTTATCAAGCTAGTGATTAACGATCCAACTAAGCTCAGTGTTCACAGAGGCATCTATCTACTTTGCATGTATTTCTTCTGAAATATCTTCCTTGGTGGTCATTTTTATTATAATTTAACTATCCTATCATGTTTCAAATATACCTTTTAAGTAGATATTACTCCAACTCTTGGGCTTACAAGCTATTCTCAAATCTTCTTAATGTTGTGAATATGTGTGTGAAAATTCAGCCCGAGAAAAAACAGTTATATCAAAGTGGCTTAAATATATACCAGATATCTAAAAGGCATATTCTTACTCAAAATAGGTTTTAAATTAGCCTTTATGCCACCTGTTTATATCATACAACCAAGATGAAAGGTGACAATTATAAAAAAATTGCCTTGTTTCCTGAAATCTCTGTATTTCTATTAAAAATGAAAATGATAAATCATGAGGTCGCCCTACTGCTTTGACTTTATCCTCAGTAAATGGTCTACAGTTTGAAAAATAAAATCCTAGTATGCCTGAAGTGTTTTTATGACTTCTTACTAATTTTTAAATAAACGTGTCATGGAAAGCGCCACGGAAAGATGAGGTAATGCTTGCAGGCGGCAGAAGACCCGGAGTTCCTTTTGGGATGCGCCTTGCTCCCTGCAGGGAGACGTGGTTGGCAAGAAACTATCTGGCAGGCAGCATGAGCCACCCCATGCCAAAGACCAGCTTAAATGTGACCCACAGGGCTAAGTACTTTAGTGCCACTGCCGTTCAGCTGCTTTTCGGGCATTTGTCCAGCCATCCTGTGTCACTTCAGCCTCCTGAAGATCTCGCCTGTGTGTGTCTGAGAATTTCCTTGTTTTACGAGTGGGGTCTTGACACGCAGTGTCATTGGCCCCACAGTGTAAGGCTCTCTACTTTGATTAAGCAAACGATAATTTCTTTGAAAATGACTGAAGCACACACATTTATAGTAAAAGTTCATGCTCAATAGCAATTCGGTTTAGATGTTATTTAACAAGTCATATTTCAGTTGAAGACGTTTAAGGGATTTATTTGTGTAGGAAGATTTCTCTATGCTTGTGCATCTTCTGCACAACTGACAGAAAATGATAAACAGCTATGAACACCCAGCTAGAACAATAGGCTATTTCCTTTTGTAAAGCCTGTTTGTCATTTTTGTTGATTGACGGTTTAGAGTTGATTTCAAAATCATTAGCTCTAAGTACTTTCCAACTTCTGCTGTGCAGTACAGAACAGGCCCTTTGACTTAACGCTTTCTGAGGTGAGCACCCTGATTCAATCGTGACAGCTAGTGTGATATGGTCATGCTCTCTAAATTGTCCCTTTCACCCTCAGTCACTGGTCAGCATCTGGAATAATGATTGTGAAATAAAACAGCATATATTAGGGGTGGGTAGGCGTGGCTCAGTAAACTCAGTTCCCTTTGTTTCTCTGGCCTCTGACTTACTTGGATGGGAAAATAGCCAAAAAAAAAGAAAAAAGAAAAAAGAAAAAAAAAACCACCTGCAAAAAACTGCAGTGCTGAGTATTTCAGATATAGGCAATGGGTCTCCACCAGACTATAAATAGGCTTTCTGAGTCTGAATTTGTCTTTTTTTTTTTTCAATTCCTGTGGCAACAAACCACACGCTAGTTTGACGTTCTACATTTTTTTAAGGCATATTTAAACTCTGACACACATAAGTAATGAAGATTTCAGGGTGGATTTTTCAGCAGAATGTCATTTGGTCCTGTTAAGAATTGTCTGTTCAAAGTTTTGGAGCATTTGATTGAGAATTCCTTCTTAATGCACATAAAGGTAAGTCATATGACTTTTTTCTTTAAGAAAAACAGATTTTTCTATCTCTTGCGTAATGGGAGATGACACTACAATATAAATATCTCCTGGGAATTTATATAACGAGGAGAACAAAAATTAGTAACTTTTTTAAAGTTTCTAGGCTTTCTTTTAAAATGAGTTTCATTTCCATGTTGTGACTCTTGCTACATTTTCGGTTTAAATGGTATTAACCCTGTGTTCAGCGGCCAATGACATTTCACTTCTTGATGCTTAATATTATATTAAGCATATTAATAAATATTAAATATTTATCTGTAATCATTTATTAATATTGAAAATGATTGATAGTCCAATTTGGATTTAGTAAAACTTTCACTTTACACTTAGGATATTTATACATTATGTTTAATTTAAAATATGATAATCATTATAAATAAAAATCAATATGGTGAGCTTAGATTTTGTAAATGACTTGAAGCTCATGTACACCATTCTGTCTAGTATGCAATTATTAATGACATTACAGCATCCTTAGCTGGTTTAATTTTCAAACTGAATTGCACAAGTTTTGGTAAACTTATTTTTGTCTACATATTTAATATAGTATATACTTTGAGGTTGTACTTTTTAAGCATTTGTCATTAATGAACAAAGATAAAATTGCTATTTTGAATAAAAATATATCAATTTTATACAATGATCTGAAATTTAGTGTAATTAGTATAAAATTTAGTAACAAAATAAAAATAAACCAAAATGAATGGTTTTGACAATTTACAATTGTTACAAACATTAGTGAATTATTTCAAATATGATACTGAGTTAAATGAAGAAAACTGCAAAAATTAACTAAAGGCTCAATAAATTATAAGTCACTTTAGAAATATTCATGAATGGCATAAATTCTCTAGAATAAAATTTTAAATTTCTGGGATTTCAAGAAATATATTAAAAGACATTTTGTGCAGATTTTCAGGACATAGCAATCCCTTTTATGTAATTTTAAGTGAATAAAGTCTTTTGAAGTTGAAAGAAAATATTTTTTTAAGTATCACAGCCTGCAAGAAAACCAAAATGAAATCTTTGAATATTCTTGTTATAGAGAGAATCCACTGGTCTTTCAGAGTTTGTAAGAGGAAAAAATAAGTAGAAATCTTTTAATCTGTCAAAGTCATACTGAACCAGAGTATTTAACCAAATACAGAACCCTCAGATAACAGGTTAGCCTGGGAGAAATACTAAGATCACAATGCAGACTGAGAGTTTTGGAATTTATCTTGGAAATTATTGTTGCTGTTCCTATTTTTATCAAAATTTTAGCTATACTCACCCAGATTCATTTGAATCCTATGTGTTTTGCTTTCTGCTTCCTGAAGGAACTAATTCTGTAATTATTTTCCGATTTAATCACAGAAGTTCACTGGACTAAGATAAGGTTAAGACTTTGAAATGGTTTTATTCCAAGATATTGACTACCTTTCCATTTACATGATATTTTAGTTTAATACATACATATGTATGGTATTTATCATCACATTTTATTGTTTTACCAATAGATATTCATATTTGTGTAATATGTACACATTTATTAGACTTTTAAAAACTAACACTTCATTTGGGCAACATGAAATAACAGTTGGCTGTTAAAGTTACATAAAATAATATTTTCAAAATAACATTTCTATGATGGGAATTTTCATACATTCTTTGATTTAGCACTTGCAACTTTACTTAATATGTAATAGACTCATATTAGAAAAAATTGACTCAAGAACTCCCACATGAAGACCCAGAAGTGATTCCATATTTTCTGACTTTAAACCCAGAACCTTAACCACTATAAACCTTACTGAGAATTTTGGGTGAGGAAAGAAGAAAATAATAGCATTGCTATCTAGAGTTCAATGATTAAAAATGGTTCTAGATAGCCCCATTTAAAATAATGTGACTAAAGAATCATTTTAGACACATGATACCCCTAGTTAGCCTGTCCCTAAAAGACAGGTTTAATTCTAATATGTGAGATGGTATGTATTTATCGCCTTTTAAAAGATTATCATAAATGCAAGCTTTAATGATAATATTTGATAAGTATAATTTAGTGAGGCATACTATTGTTTTATATTACACACACATAATATTTTATAGTACACATACTTTTATATATCCTCATAGGATACAAATGCACATGTAAGTAAGTCGAAGGATCGTGGTAACTGCAGTAGGACAAGCTGTTGGAAATCTCCTAATCTACTTCTTTGAAAGTTCTCTGTGGAGCCCCTGAGTCCAGTGGGGCAGACTGAGGACAGGATGGTGGGCTGAAAGTGTTCGGGGCTCTGATCTCACTCCTTCTTCTTCCAGACAGGCCTTCAGGGAGCTATCTTTATACACTGAGGTAGTGTGTGAAACTTAACTTGGAAGGAGAAGTCTGTCTCTAAAGAGCACGTACACAGACTGATCTGCCGGCTTCCTGTCCTCACATGATGAGCCATCCCAGACTGAAATGACCGATTCAAACCCGTTCCTTCCGGCCTGGATTTGAACATATGTCTTCCTCATGGCTAGGCACTCGTGGCACTAAAGTCATACATAGAAATGATGCAGGGTCAGCCTGTGTAAAGGAATTTAAACTAATTCCTATATCCATATGCAACCTGTTGAATTAATAACTCCTAGCAACTCTGGGGTTTTAATGGCACGTGATGTGGCGAGGCATCTATGCATCAAATGAAACCTATTTGTGTGGTAGAATCGGACATGTGTGGTCTGGCTTTCTAGCTTAAGAAAAATCAGAGGGAAGGCTTACTCATGGGATAGGAAATTATAGATAACCACTGATCAGTGAAAACATCATACAGGTCATGACACTCACTTGAGTATAAATACTCTGGAAATCTGAAACTCTTTAAATTTCCTAGTTCCTATCTCAGCAATTTTTGCCTTGGGCTAGGCCTATTCTGAGTAGAGTTTCTCAAGGAACAGAGCTTTACCCAGGCAGGGGAACAATTAGTAGCCTGTCCTGGGGATACATTAATGTTCTGCCCATTTTCTCAGCCTACTTGAGGCTGTGCAAAAGAGCTCAGCTCTCAGTCACCCCCATGTTCCCCATGCAGGGAACAGGGGATCCTCACTCAGAAGTTCATTGTAGAAACATTGCTCTGTTGGTCTGATAGGAAACAAAAAGGCCTATATTTTTTCTTTCTTTCAAACTCAGCCCAAGGCACTAGAAACAACTGAGGAATTCTACAAAGGTAATCCCTTTGTAATAGTCTATAAACTGGATATAAGGCAGCTCATCTACCCATAAAATCAAGGCAGGTATATAATTAGTGAGATCTGAAAATATGCCCTTTTACTTTTCCTTACTTGCCCTTTACTACCTTCTCTACTTAAGTCTAAGTAGATTTTTCTTTCTATGATTATTCTTTGCCTTATAGATTGGAGTATTTAATCAGGAAGTAAATATTACAGATATTATTACCTTGTATGTTTCTTATGAAGGGCAAATAAGCAAAAGGTAAAATTTAACCTAACATTGCCAAATAAAATAATCACCTATTTCAATAGATAAAGCCCTATGTTAAGAAAACTGAGTGTTCTAGACCCATATTGTGTAGGCATTCACACTGAAATGCGGGGGAAAACCAGAGATAAAACATAGATGGAGACAAAGTGGGGGTGATGTAAAAATAAATATAAAGCACGTGATGTGTATACTGAACTCCTGCGAGCTCAGGACTTATCTCACATGCTATGCTCGGACCTCTTCTCCTTGGGTGAAAAAGCTGATTATATTTTCCAATATGTAGCACAAGGATTCAGTAGGCCCCTGCAAAGAGTCTTAGAGCACATGGATCTATTTGAACAATGCTGAATGCTTCCATAAAGCGGTAGGTAAATTCACAATTAGGTTGTGGCATAGAATGTAAATACGGGCAAAGATATGCACATATTTCTATTTCATCACAATATGATTGTAATTTTTTAATCATTTTATATTCCATCTGTGAAAGTTGGGAATGACATTCACATTGGATAAATGACCTTTATTGAAATTTATAGAGAACATCCAATAACTTTCCAAGGGAGATGACTAAATATTTGAGTTACATGTTCTTACACAGATTCGCCATACAGTCGCAAGACTAGAATTTGGAACAGAATTTCCTGCCCCCTGGTTTGAATGGGCCCAGGATGCTCTAGGTTTCTGCAGAGGTCTCCTAAAGCTTGCCAGCAAGGTGACAGAGGAGAGCCGGAAGCAAGGGAGGAACCGGGTCCTGGGGTCTCTGGGTTGTCGCCAGGGTCACATAATCGTATCCAATGTGCCTGCTGGCCTGTGTAAGTGAAGGGCTTCTACTAAGTGAAGTGCGGTTCAGCTATTCACATTAAAAACTCTGACCCCATCTCAGATCTCACTGAACACATGAAGAAACTGAGGCATGGAGTGACTTAGTGTTTTTCCTATTGTACCTTGCAAGAGGGTGGCCAGTGCGTGGTTTAATCTCCAATTTCCTGATCTCAGTTCCCTTGCACCAGATGTGAACCTTTGTATTTTGATCCCTACCTTAAGAGATTGTTGGTTTACAATGTATGGAATATCAGAATATTATTGTCTACTTAGCAATTACTATGGTTGCTTAAAAGATTGTTTCAAAACAAGTGTAACGTGCTTTATCATTATGCTTTACAAAGGAAATTCTATTTGATGTATTCAGTCGTTATCAGCCCTACGAGTCTTCTTCTACTGCATTCTGACGGCCTAGCCAAAGCCACAGGAGGGAGCATGTTACATGAATCAAAGAGCAGGGAACCATTTCTCCACTCTGCCCCCAGACAGTTAATAGAAAAGCCAGCCCCTCTTGCTCAGTGATACATAAAAATCCACAGTAAAAATAAATCACTTGTTTGGTCTTCTGTGTTTCCCCTTTACTTGCAAAGCAAGCACGTGACACGAAGGAACTCTTCCAGCATCTTAGTCATCAGCAGCACAGTGGGGATGAGTCTGTGACTCATCGTGATTTGCAAGGGGAGTACTCTAACAGTAACTAAACAAAGAATAAATACTAACTTTGCCATGAAATAATTTGTACCATGTTCTCTACTTTAGGGTAAAGTCTTATTTTCTCACTATTATTTTCTGGGCCATGCCAGTAATATTTCTAAAAACTAGATGATTCCTTGAATAGAAACAAATAGTAATTGAATCATAGGAATAAACCTTCTGTTACAATAAAGCTGCCCATGGAAGACCTGAGACCATGATGAAAGGTTATTTGTACTGTTTCACCCACTGTGCTGGCAAAAGCCTTCCGGTGAATTTTGTGTCTAGCCTCACTGTGCTGCTTCTGTTTCCCATGTGTATTTTGAAGTAGACAGGGTTTAATTATAAGCTATAAAGCATATTCTGACTGCACATTAGTGACGGGTCAACACCATCACTTAGAAAATGTTGTTAAAATCAACGTAGCTCAAATGAATGTGTTTTCCAATATCTATCTGAAGTGATATAGTCTTATTAATTATATTGCTACGGATCCATTCATTCATAAACTGTTTTCTTTTAGTCTTTAAGTAATAACCATCTATTATATAATGATATCACAAGTAACACGAGCCAAGTGGAATACATAATGCCACATAATGTTGACATTAATAGTTGGCACAAATCATTCTACATAACAAAATGAATAATATTCCAGTTAAATATATATAGATTTATATATATATATAAAACTAAGAAAAGTAAAAAAAGCAATACGTACTATTAAAACAGGTCATCTTCTACTGCATACATTTTCTTCAAATTCTTTTCACCTACAGTCTACCCAAAAGTATTAGCAATGAAGTTAAAAATAAAATGTACTTTACTTTTATTTAAAAATGAAATGCACTTCAATTCAATTTTTTCCATGATGTTTATAAGACAAACATTTCAAGCATAAACTCTGTATTTAGAAAACAGAATTTTCTCCTCATAGTTATGATTATGGTGATATCAGACAATGTCCTAGTATTCTTTTTCTGACAGTGGATTTCCCCTACTCACTCATGCTTTCTGTTCTATCAGGCAGCTTACAAATGATTAGAAGAACTGATTTATCCTGAGATTCATTCGTTTATTTCCTGTGAAGCCCGTACAGTGTCTGCTGCTTGTTCTTGAATAAGGTAAAGTAAGAGAAACCTCCCTGTTACCATACTTGATCAGCGCTGGGGCAGAGCCGCCACCAGCATGGGCCCCTGCCCTTCGAGGAAGCCCTGACCCTGGGGGATGGTTGTGCTTGGGTGGAGACTCCAGATAGGAGACAGGAGACAACTCATTCCAGGCAGGGGAGGAATGGAGGGCCAAGCCCAGGAGCCTGGCTCTGCTCAGCTAAGGCTTCGGTGTGGAACTCATGCAGAGGAGCGGGAGAGAAGACAGCAACTGGGCAGAAACACTCTCCCACAGTTCTATGGTACTGGCAGGTAGCTGGGAGCAAGAGAGAGATGGCAGAGGAACCTAGACAGTCGTGTGGTCAAACGCGACGGAGACAAGTGTTTCAGCTGGCAAAGGCATCTGCTTCAGTTTATGTTTGTACTTTGGTCTTCAGGGCTGTTATTCCAGCTTCTGTGTTGTGATCTTTTCTGATGATAGGTAGAACCAGGCCACAGAGAAGACACCTTACTCGGAGCTGGGAGCCTGGCACACGCGGGCACTTGGGCTGCACGGGAGGCATGGGCTGCGACCGGAACCGCGGGCTCATCGCTGGGGCAGTGATAGGCGCAGTGCTGGCCTTGCTGGGCGGGATTCTCATGCCAGTGGGCGACCTGCTGGTGCAGAAGAACATCAAGAAGGTAGGAGAGGCGGTGCCCCGCCGTCGGCGCCTTCTGTGGCGCTGTCCCGTGTTGGGGTCTGTGACGTGTCAGGGTCAATGGGATATTGTTGCCTTCCACGCACAGGTAGTCACGAAACGCCACCATTCTGACAGCTGAGCTTGTGAGAGATCTTACAGGTCCCATGCACATTTCACATGCACACATTTCAGTCTGAAGTGTAAATAGCACGTGTTGAAGCAACGATTGGTGGTGTGTAGGTTGGCAGGTGTAACTGTTTTTAATTATGCTCAAAGAATATATTGATGTACTTTTGAATGTGAAATAATAAAAATATTTTGTAAGAGGATATTTATAAAAGTAGTTGTGTTGTTTGGTTAATACTGAGAAATTAGAATGGTGTGTGTGTACATATACTTATGTGTGTATGTCTATATATGTGTCTCTATATATGTATGTTCAATAAATACTGAGTTTAATATTGCAACAGGAATCTTTGGTAAACTGGACAATGGCTATTTATAATATGTGTAATAATGTGACTATCTTATAAATACCCCCTATTTACAAAGTTTATATGTGATCCAGAAGATACTTTAGGTAAAGATTGCAGGAATATGCTATGTAGAACATATCTCAGAATATATCAACTAAACAACTGTAGCTTTAACTAAAGTTAGTGATTTAATAAGCAAAATTGACACAACACCACCTCCTACCCTGGTGCATTCTAACTCTAGATATCTGAAATTTTAATTGACAGCATATTAAGTAAAATAAATCAGACACATCCACCAGACAAGCTTAAATATCATAAGGTTTCTCCTATATGAGAAACCCAAAGTATAAATGAACTACAGAACAAATTAAAAAGATATGTAGTAACAGGAAGGCAGATCTTTTGTAAATGTGAGGGAGACAAAGATAGAGGGTGAGGGGAAGGGAAGGGGATGTAAAAAGAATTAAGATGTGTTATGTACATGCACCAACTTCCCCACAATGAGTGAGTCACTATGTGTCACAATGAATAGAATCGCTGAATAGAATAGATCCTGATGCATCTATTGAATAGAACCGTTACACATCACAATGGACAGAGTCAGTACACATCACAAAGAGGTACTAATAGGAATTTTTTAAGTTTAAAAAGATAGAATAAGGGGAAGTAGATCTGCTGATGACCTAGGTTAAGGATGGGAAATTCCAATGACTCTAGGAGTTTGGCGATGGGAATTGAGCGGAAACTAAGCTGCTGAAGACAAGGGGGCTGATGAGTTGTGAACATGAGCGTCTGTCCTCAGCAGCGATGCTGGCCTGAGCACTGACCAGCTCCCAGCCTTGTTGGGGGTTTGGTGACCAGATGGAGAGCGGGCAGGGGCCACGGTGGGCAAGGAGAGCAAGGGGTGAGAACTGTTACTACACTTGATCTTAGCCAAAAGGCCGAGAAGCGATGAGAGAACTGTTAATGTGTGCTCTCTCCCAGGCCTCTGTCCCTCACCGCCAAGGAATCCCTAGGGATACAGACAGCATTTCATTTTACTGAAGCTTTGACTTAACTGACAAGCAATGCAAAGAAATGATTTCCAATCTGCCTGCTTAGAAAAAGCAGTTACTAGTTTCTAATCTTTCTTCAGCTAAAAATACTAGATGATTTAAACTAAAAAAAAAATCCTCTGTACCATTTTAATTGTTGGCTTACTATAAAAAATGGAGCATTGAAGGTAATCATTCTCATATTTCCATGTGGCATTTTCTCATTAGTCATTTCTAACTCTTGTTAACAGCCTGCACATCTTCAGCCTCGTGTGTTTAACAAAAATAGATATGTGTATATAGGTAATACACAGTATTACACATCATGTTATATACTAAATGCCGAGGATTAAACATGGAATCATATTCCCTACCTTGGAATTCCTGGTTTTACTGCCAGAGGCCAACAGGGACAGACAGGTGGCAGACAGATGGGGCTTGTTGATGGCGAGAGAGCGAATCTCTGTTGCTTTCCTACTGCTATCTCTGCTCCCCACCTGGATTCCCTAAGGGGGAGGGCATTTCCCTGTCTGTATCAACCTGCAGATTATAACTTCTCTTTTGGAAAATTCTTCTGAACAAATAGACTCTCTTGGTGCACAGTATTTTAGATTTTTTCATATATATTATCATTGATTAATACCTAAGTATTGATCATCTAAACTTTTATTCTTTATGTAACAAAATTAGTGCATATAGACTCTTTTTGGGTGGCCTTTGAATACAAGGACCTATTTTAAGTTAATTATTTAAAAATTTATCTCCAAACTCATAAGAGTTTTGAGGTGTCAGAAATGTGCCTTTCTCACTCCTGTAATGAACTAAGAGGATTGCCCTGAGTTCCAGGCCAGTCAGGGCTGCACAGTGAGACTCTGTCTCAAAAATATAACAATAAAATGGGCCTTTGAATAGGATTAAGATACAGTAAAATGATTTTTTTTTGTAAAATGAATTAAATTTTACTGCAAGTGTAAAATACAACTATGCAGAAGCATATCCTATAGAGAAAAAAAAAACAGACCCATGAGACTTTAGAATTGAATTGTGAAAAACATGAAAAGCAAGTGCCAAGGAGAGAAAGAGATCTCTCTGAGAGTCAAGAATCTTCAAGGAGAAGATGGGGCTTGAGCTGGATTTTGAAGAAGTGCAGAAGTTTGAAGTCCAACAAAGACGGCATGGCAGGGTCGGACGAACAATTAACAGTGCGGAAGTGCAGCTAAACGCAGCTAAGCGCTATGAAGTGGAACGAAGCGGACAATACAAGAGCGCTGGATTAACAGGACAGGTGGGGAGCAGGGCGTGCGGTTAGAGTTGAGAAGCTTCAGACACTACTAGAGCCTGTAATCCATGACGGAACACAGAAGAGCGGCCGGGGTGTTCTTCAGTAGGATGTTAACAAAACCCGCGTGTAGAAAGTGAAATGCTCAGCATGTATTTCGCGCTTATTGAGAGGTTTTTCATAAAAATCCATTTAATCTGCAGCTCTTATAAGAAGATAGAATTGATTTGCCCATTTTATATGAGAAGGCCGGTAGGAAGGGAGCTGCGACCGGACCCAGGCGGAGTCTTCTGCAGTGCAGAGGTGAAGAGCAAGGAGACCAGAGGCCCGGAGCAGGGAAGCGCGGGAAAGCTGCAAGCAGTCAGGGCTCGGTTGAGGAGGCCTCTGCGTGGCCGGCCCTCAGCAACAGAAGGGCTGGGGCCTCTGCGGAGAGGCCCACAGCAGGCGCAGGTGGAGGTGGGCAGCGGGAGGCAGAGAGCAGCCCGCCCGCCAGGAGAGAGGCGGAGATAAGCCCAGAGGCCCTGCTGAGTTACCATGGAAACACATCCCCGCGGAAGAGGAAAACCGCCTGCGAACATCGTTCTGTGTTTCACAGGTCAGGCCTCAGGCAGACTCAGTGCTGTAGCGACTACAGATCAGACCAGGAAGCCCTGTCCACTAGAGAGTTTAAAAGCGGAGAAAACACAGACAGGTTCCTTAAGGATTTGTCCATAATCAGAGACCGGGAAATCAAAGACAGAAAAGAAAATGAAATTATTTTTTCTGAAGAAATAGAAGCCAAACTGTATAATTTTGAAATTTAATATGAAACAAGAACTCAAGGAAAGACAGAATAAAATGTTTTCTGGTTGGTGAAAATTAGAAAATAATGGCTAGAACGTGACCAGTGATGATTTTGACATAAACAAAGAGCAAGACGTGACAGCTTTCTTACCAGTATTTTTCATGTGACTCCTAGTAGGGTTCCATGGAGCCAGCATGTTTGGGTGGCCTTTGTGGACAGACTCACAGTCAAAGGCCTGGCCGCCTGCAGTGGGCACACTACCAAGGAGCTTTGGAAAGGTCAAAGTTCTGCACCACTTGAAAAAGATAACTTAAATCTTGATATTGTTAGTATCCCTTGATAAAATGTTCAGTGCATATTATATAACACAGATAATTTCAAATAAATTTTAATTTCCCAATTACCTATAAAACACCACAAGTGAATGGAAAGCTTCTTTTTTCCTACAAAAAGACTAATGACTAATGTATAATTCAATTATATTATCATTTCTCTTTCCTCATTCGTTAGTTTTTCTTCTTGGTGCTAGGGCTCAAACCAGGGCCTCAGGCATGCTATGTGAGCAATCCACTGAGCTATATCACTCTCAGTATCCACCTGTTCCTCTAGTAGCTTGTAAAAAGTGCTCTAGGTGAAATAAAGTAAATTTGAATAATAATTATTTATTGAAATGACAATTATATCAATAGTTTATATTTGAACAATGTAATTTATGTTAATTTGATTATATTCTTTTCAGACATAATACAATCATTTGTACTTTTGCCAGTTAACTACAATGCTCAGAAAGAAACAGTTGTTAAAGATACTAAAGTTTGTATTATACTTAATGACATTATATGAGATCAAGAAACAATCAAAAAATTTCAAATGAGATTATATAACAATTTATTAAATACTGCATGTATTTTAGATAACTACAAAAACAAATGTTGCTTAAAAATATGTTGGGTGGGCCGGGGACTTAGCTCAGTGGTTCCACCGCCTGCCTCATAGGCGCAAGGTCCCGAGTTCGATCCCTGGTACCAAAAAAGAGATATGTTGAGAAATAGCAAGTAAATATATGTAATTTTCTTCTACTCCCATTTAATATCCATATAATTTACCTTTCATGCCAAATACAAAATACGTCCCATATTTAGCTTCTTTCATAAATTCTTAGAGGCTAGTTTCTGGAGTCTCTAAAACATGTTAAAGTTTAGTATTTCAAAATGTTTTATCAAATTTTCTTCTGGATTTTAATTGTTACTGATAATCCAAGACTGATGCCATTTATTAACTCAGCACAACCGTGCCTTACAGTTCTGGCTCATTCTCTCTTTCGGTAAGCCCATAAGATGCAGATGTTTCAGAGAATTTTTCCTAACAAGGGAGAAATCATGCTGTTCACGGCCAGTTATGAGCATATTTTATATTAGCAGAGGAGAGGATCGAAGATATTTTTCAGCATTTCTTTATTTTTAAGGAAATGCTTGTTTTAATGGAGAGGGAATGACTCTAAAAGTGATTGAACGGCAGAGAAAAGTGTCACAGGACTTTGCATGAATAGTTGGCCCATGACTGGGTTAGTCAGTGAGGACTACCAGCCAGGCAGTGAAAGTGGCAGGGAGGGGCTGGGTGAATATTAGGGTTCTCCCTCTAAAGCGTGGATGGAATTCGCATAATACTAATCACTGTCGCTTATGGAGTGTCTGCTATGTGTTAACGCTGCCTAAGTGGTCTCGTTTATTAATTCTCCTACGTATTTAAACCATATGAAAAGTCAATACTCAATGTGATTAAAGTTTCAAAACTACAAAGTTCATACAGTTCAAGCTAAGATTATTGTCCTCATTGCATGGGTAAGGAAACAGACACAAAGACATTAAATAAACTATAAATTTTACACAGTTGTGAAGCAACCAAACTGTAGCTCAAACAAATAGCACCGCTTTTCTCTCTGCGCTGAGAAGGAGGAAGAAAGTGCTTTTGTCAGAGTGGGGTAGCCTGGCGGACTGACTCGAAGACTGAACTCTACAGTGCCCGCTTCTGTGTCAGTACTGCACAAGATCCTGGAGAAACCCGACATTTGCTTTGGGCCTTTGTACTGTCCCTTCTGGACACAGGAATATACCGGGGAATTTTAATGATTATGCTAAATCACGCCAATTAAGCAGATGAGAACTGTTTTCATTCAACAGCGATAATCAAGTGGACCATCTAGGAGATATTTCTGTCCCAAACATTTGTGTTTAAGTTGGCATGGAAGAATCGAAATTTTAAGGTCAGTGGCTTTCAACCCAGCTGGAGACACTGCCGTGTGGGAGTTAACAGGTTGGAATCTGGCCCTTACAGGAGCTCCACACGCTGTACACTCAGTGTCTGGGCGAAGACTGGTTTTCATGGTAACCAAGTGAGAGAATCTGAAATTGCACTGCCTTTGCTGTGTACACAGTTATCAGCTTTGTGCTTCAAATTTAGTGAAAGATTTGCAAAGTAGGCTAATAATCCAATTTGATTTAAGATGAAGCATTTGAAATTCACACAGAGTATACATTATTTTTCTCCTTTAAAATTAAGAACTTATGGAAAAAAAATTAAGAACTTATGGTATTGAACCTTGGTATACAAGGAGCAGCTATGCAATTCTCTAACACATATAATAGTACTAGCAGTAGAAGAATTTCGTTCTTACTTTTGACTACGTTAGTATTTTTCTCTTTGTCTTTGACCAAATCATGAAGTTATAGAAATCACATAAGAATGCAGTGAAAAAGACCTGATCTTTTTTTACTGTCTTCTACATAAGTATCAAATAACACTGAATCAAACATTTGTTTTAGTCAGACTCATTTTCAACACCTGAATTTTTAGGTAGTCTAACTCTAACCGCCTGATGATTCCATGCATTTGTTTCCACTTTTCAAGTTTCAATTTCCCATAAAAAATCTGGAACAAGAAATAAAGTAATTTATAGCCATTAGAAGAAAAAGAGGTAATACACTATGAAGCCTTCTGGGAGTCAGGTGTACATACAGGAGACTTAGAGGAGTAGTCCATCTGTCCTGTCAGGTACATTCTGTCCCAGCCCTTTCCTATTCTGTAAGAACTTGTGGGATGACACTAAAATATATACTTTGAGAGGCCCAAGATAAATAATAGATACTGCATCAGGCCTCAAGATTTTATAGGATGTGCATACTTGTGTGTATGTTTTCCTTCACATTGATTCTAAAAGCAGAGGAATTAACACAGTTGGCATTTCCTATGTAGTCAAGTTTGTATTTGCACTTTTACTTTTATAAGAAAACTCATAATAATTTAGACAATTTTGTCTTAATGTTGGGCTCATTAGTGTGGAAATGAGCATTTTGGGGCAAATGAAAGGTTCTTCAAGGAGGAGTTGTAAACACAGTAGAAATTTGACTGTCACCGTAGCAGCTCGGCTCCCCAGTGTCAGTGCCTTGCAACAGCAGTTTTGTAATTGAAGTTTAACTGGATGCCCAGTTGTTCTCCAGGGAATTCTCTGCATTAAGCAATCGAAGATCCTGAAGATCTTCTACCAACTAGGTGTAGAGGGAGACAGAGAACGGATTTTGAAAGCCAGTAGTAGCAAGTGAATGGGGAGGAATGTAAGGCTCAGAGGAAAGGATTTTGCGCACGATTATGCTCCCATTACTCCGTTACCCTACTGGGCCAGCTACATGGTCACCCCATCTCTGTGTGCTCTACTAGATGATGTGACAGTGCCCCTGTGTCCTCCTGATGCTTCATTCCATGAATCGACACTTCCTGGTGAAGGAACAAAAATAGGTCAGATTGTTCCTGTATTTGTGGGCCTTTTTAGGCTCATGTTCTGTGAAGTAGCTTCCTTCCTCTTCCTCTTGTGTGCTAGGGCAGAGCTCTTGAGCCTGGGCAGTCCTCCCAAGATGCTTACCACCTGGAAAACCTCCTTTGTTTACACTTGTTGCTGTAGCAACACAGACATCTCGCTCAGAGAGGGAAAGACCAGAGAGAACCTGGGAGACCATCTATGCTAACTCCTTCACCCTGCAGATAGTGAAATGGACCCAGAGGGGTTTGCAATTTTCTGCTTGGTCCCGAAGCTCCTGAAGCAAGGGACCAAGTTGCTAATATAGGGTTTTAAATGCTGGCATTTTTATATTTTCCACTTGTCTGTTTTCAGTGCAAAGGACATTTATGATTTTTAATGGATTTCACACAAAAAACTAGAGAAGTTTCCTTGTCTTGTCTTCTTTAATAAGTAGCAAACAAGTAATAGCGAATTAGTTGTAAATTCTGGAGATGTGGCGTGCTGGGTGTTTGCAAATGTAGCAGCACTTATGGAAGCTGTATTAATCACGAGTCCAAAGAGGAAAAGTCATTTTTGCATATTTCACCCTTGAGGATCTACTCTCTTCACTCAATAAATGTGAAGCCATTGTCTCCTGAATTGCCCAACTCCTGAAAAAAAGAAAAAAAAATCTCTCAATGCTACCAGATTTTTCTCTTTTCTGTTTTTGCTTCATCAATGTAGCTATTTAGGGATAGAAGATTCAACCTGGTAAGGACTTTAGTAACAACTTTAACTAAATTTGCCTAATAAACCACATTACTGACTGTTGCCATATTGCCAGGGCAGCATTACAAAGCTTGCCTGAAACTCAGCAGTCTTGGCTTCCATTGCACACACGATCCTCTTCATGAAATTTAATCCAAAGAGGTTGGCACAAGACTGTGGAAACATTCCTTCTGGAAACATGGCCAGGTTGTCCGTGTTCTTATGAGCAAGATCCGTGAGATTGGTCCCTTTGTTCTGCCTGACTGAAGATGATAAACAAACCCTCAGAAGTGCCTGTGTTTACCACAAAGAAATAACTCAAACTTCTTTTCTTTTTCATAGGAAGTTGTTCTTGAGGAAGGTACAACTGCCTTTAAAAACTGGGTTAAAACAGGCACAGAAGTTTACAGACAGTTTTGGATCTTTGATGTGCAAAATCCACAGGAAGTGATCGTGAACAGCAGCAACATAAAGGTTACGCAGAAAGGCCCGTACACGTACAGGTGAGTGGCTGAGCACACACGAGTGTGTGTGCACATGCAAGTGGCACTCCTCCTCCAGTGTGTTTCTGAGCTGGCTTCCATCTGACTGACCTGTACTTATTTTCCTGCTAATGGTACACCTTGAGATATTGTTTCCTACCTGCATTGGATCCTCATCTAAGAATTTAATAACTGCGTCCATAAATGGAAATATATATCAATTGTCCAGACAGCTGTAATGCATAGATTTTATCCTGGGTTGTGCAGTCCTGGTTTAGGAAGTTACAGTGGTTCTGTACAGCACTTGTGCCTATGGTCTCGGCCACACTGGAATGCACACACTGAGGAGGAAGACATCTTCACAGCAAACCTGTGTCTTCTATCAGTGAGTGTCACTGGGTGGCTCCGAGACCTGCAGCCTGAGCAGCCCCGGAGACTTGGTGGGTGTACCCCAACCTGTGCCACATGGGACTGAGACCCTGGAGCTGGGGCCCTGGAATGGATTTTGAAGGCCTCTGGGTGATTCTGATTCACTCTCAGTTTTGAGAACCATGGCACTAAACTGATTCTCCTTAAATACAGTAATTAATTCTACAGTGCCTGCTAGGGATTTATATTGAGAGCAATTTTCAGGTCATGTTATAGGTATTTAGGTTTATCCAGTAGTTTCATTCTTCTATGGTCTCTCTTACTGAGACTAACCGCTATATACTTTTCTCCTACACTCACTCAGAGTTCCACACACATCTGAATAGAATCTCAGAGTATAAAAGTAGGGGAAATGACTCGCCAGAAACTTTCACTCTGTAAAAAATACAGACGCCAACAGATCTAAAATGACCTGTCCGTGTTCACACAGATGCAGAAACTGGTAGTTCTTGGATTTTGAATACATTTTTAATTTAAATTGCAGGCTTATTTTTCAACTACAAAAAGTATGCAATGTGAAAACTGAGGTGCTAACAGCACAACTCTAACCAAATATTAGGAACATTTTTAGACGTATATGAAAACATCATTAAGTCCTATCTTTCAAATATGTGATTATTTTCCTCAAGGATAATTAAAACTACTGACATGACATGACCAATTAACAGAATTTTATATTCGTAACTTTTTAAAATTCATCGCTGCAGGTTTGGATGTGGTATAACTGTGTCATTTTCCAACATTTCTAGACCGTTAATGGTTGTAGATTGACAACTGACCCGCACGCGAGACTGAGGGGATCGGAGTCGTTGGGAGCGCAGCGCCCCCTGCCGTAAGGCGATGGAGCAGCGGCCGAAGGCGCCGTGGCCCGGGGTTACCCACATCCCCCACCCAAGCCGCGGGTCTCAGCCACACTCTGCTGAAGAACTGGTTTCCCTTCACAGGGAAAAATTCTCTGCGGAAAACACTTTTCCCCATGGTCTTACAGATCTTCTGCTCTCGCAGAAGCCTGCACGAATCTAGTTCTGAAAGAATGTTCTAGCGATGACGTGTACCTATGAAAACCTGGGATTCACACGAGACCCGGGAAAAGTCTAAGCTTCGTGGTTTACAAAATTATAACCCGAATGAACTGAATAAGGGTGAGGAATGCGAATAACTCTTAGAATTGGAGAACTTACTGTATTTTCTGCTTTTTGGCTGAGGGTGTTAGTTTTTCACTTGTAATAAGGATATTATTTGGGATATGAGGAAACGTAAGCATAGTACAATTGAATGTAATTCTCCCCTGATAGGTGACAGCTAATTAAAATGTTATTATTAGAGTCTTTAACCTCTCTTTCTAGGATGCAAAAGGTATGAGTTTAATTCCCTTGCTTTTAGGGAATTTAAAAATTACACTCTAAAGACCGAGCTTGGTTTTAAGTATTTTCTCTTAGTGAATGCCATCGACTGGTATAATCTTGTAGGTGTAACTTAAGAAAGTGAAGTCGGTTCACAGATCTTTTGCTCACGTTTCAATTATCATGCATACATAAATGTTTTTAAAATTGCAGTAGTTTCATTGGAAATGTTAACAATATATACTTTAAACAATATATACTTTAACAATATATACTTTAAGGTAGCTATTTGAGAGAAAAGGACATATCTAATTGTCTTTTGTGATTGGGTTTTTATATTCTTTATATATCCATTCATAGAACAGAAAAGGTTTGCTGAAAGTATATTAAAAAGTAAATATCCGGGCTGGGGATTTAGCTCAGTGGTTCTGCTGCCTGCCCCACAAGCACAAGGACCCGAGTTTGATCCTGGTACCAAAAAAAAAAAAAAAAGTAAATATCCTTCTAGCATGTTTAGGGCCTTTTTTGAAATAATGTGAGATATTAGTTTATTCCTAAACAAGTAAAAAGACAACTGACAATGCATCAGGTACCCGTCAGGGGAATTATATTCTCCCCTGATAGGGGACAGCTATAAAAATGTTATTATTAGGGTCTTCAACCTAGAGAATCCCCTCTGCAGGAGGCAAAAAGCTCTGAGTTTAATTCTCTTGTTTAGAGACGCAATGGGGGTGAATAGGGGAATACGTTGAACTTACAGCTAGGTTTTACAGACGTTCATAAAATATAAAACTCGCATAATCCCTCTGCTGTAGAAATTCACATTTCTATTACATACTTTAAAATGTATTTTTATTTAAATTTTGGTCTGAAGCTGTTTTATGCTCTATCTATTCACCTCACATTACAGACGTTCAAATACAGGATAGTGTGATACGTGATATAAAGCTTATTTAATTGCAGTGGCTCTCTTGCGTGTGCAAAGTCCTTCCTCAATTAATCAGCCCTCCCCACATTCTTAAAAAGTACTGGTTATTCTGCACCCTCGAGGTGTAAAGGCAGGATCCTGGAACTAACATGCAGTGTACGTGTGTCTGCACGAAAAGGGCCGCCCAAGCGGAAACACCTGCGTGCGTCATGGGGCGCTTGGGTCAGCAAAGGCACTCAGGGTTCCCACGTCCTCTCGCCTCTCCCTTTCTCCCAGCACTGAGACTGCCACTTGTCCGTGTGTCCTGTCTCGTCAGAGATTTGGCTCTTTCAGTGATTTCATTTCTTACCATGGTTTTATTCTCTCTCTACCACTCACACTCAAATGTTTGCATTTCCCCCAATGCATGCTGTTCTTTCTTCTTTTATAGATGGCGATTCCTGTCCTACTTTCCTAAGTGAACTTGTGTTTGGCAGTTAAACCCCTTACTTGAACTTGCTACCAAAATGGATCTCACCCTCATTCCTCCCTATGACCAGCCCAAGCCCGGATGCGATTCTGTTCTCTTCTCCAGTGGTCTTGGTCCAGACAAAGGCTCATTATAACTCTGCTCCCTTGCTCTCCTGCTTCCCTGTGTGGGAGTTGAAGAACCCTTCTGATGAAATTGCTGGAGGGCCTGACTGGCTAACATCATCACCACCCCATTTTAACATCATTTCTAACATAGTCTGTACGGAAATTGTATTTCTGAGTGAATGAATGAGTGAATGGCATTTGAAACCAAATGTTCACATGAAACAGTTTTTCTGAATTTTGTTAACTTCCGTTTCTTTCAGAGTTCGCTATCTGGCAAAGGAGAATGTGACACAGTACCCTGAGGACCACACGGTCTCTTTTGTGCAGCCCAACGGGGCCATCTTTGTGCCTTCCATGTCAGTGGGGTCAGAGAATGACACCTTCACAGTCCTCAATCTGGCCGTGGTGGTGAGTAGAAAACAATGAAGCTCCCAGTTTCTAAAAACTCCAGAGCCTACCTGCCTGGATCTGTGAGAATTATTACTAGATTTGTTACGTCCCAAGTTGTATAAAAATGTTTTCTCTGTTGTTGTTTGGTATGGTTGTGGTCATTTGGAACAATGACAGAATCGTAACAGGCAAGTAGAAGATTGCTTTCCGTGCATCGTTAAAAGATCAGGGTTAACAGGGAATCGTCACGTGACTGGCAGTGAGGCAGAGAAATGTCATTCCCCAGGGATTCTGTGAACTACACTTTTATTCCAGGTGTGATTTGAGAATAGTTTCAGAGATGCAGTTCTAAAGTGTTTTATTAAGCGAAATTCTTGTGCTTGATCCATTTATCCTGTTAAAATCCGACGTTGTTCCTGTGCCTTAGTCCAGCCTTTCACTTGTAGGCTGCGCCTCACATCTACACGAACTCCTTTGTTCAATCGGTGCTGAATTCACTCATCAAAAAGTCCAAGTCGTCCATGTTCCAGACCAGAACAGTGAGGGAACTGCTGTGGGGCTACAAGGACCCATTCCTGAGCCTGGTTCCATACCCTATTCCTACCACCATTGGCGTGTTCTACCCGGTGAGTACCGCCTGGGATGCTTGAATTCACTGAGCACAATGCCAGTGGAAGGCCTAAGTTGTAACTCAGGGCGCAAGGCCTGTTGTGAATCTGGGGTTATATATCCGAAAAGTTTTAAAGTCTCTATCTCCTATGATTTCAGTTTTCCCTAATTAGTGTAACTAAATTACTGTAATTTTAATGTGAAATCATCATATTTCTACTCATAAATTATGCTGTGTGTCTACACTGTTACGCTGAAAATCTCCAAACATGTTTTCAATCATGATTTCTCTTTTCACAAGTTCAGTACTATATTTTTGGTGTTAAATGTAGTTATCCTAACATTTCACCTTCACTATACCTTACAAATTATTTACTTAAAAAGTTTGCGTATTTCAGGGAGACCAATAAGCCAGGAAGCCTTATTTTAATGAGGTTTGAGATTTAGAGCTTCTCGAGATCCACCAGTGTCACGAAATGCCAGTTTGCAAGTCAAGAAGAAAATGCGTATGTGAGAGTGGGCCTGGTGGTAGCTTCAGGCTTTGAATTAACAATAGGAAAAACTGAATGCTGACTTGGAATTTCATTTGGTATTATATGAGTGTTCCTTATAATTTCTAATTCTTCATTCTCTTTACTTTTAGATAGTGCTTAGGATTTCAAGGCTACACATCAATTAAATGTTGATATAGAAAGCCTTAAGGGAGAAGAGATTCAATTATTTGAAGTCTTTTCTTGAATAACTGTGTTTTTAATTTTGCATGCCTATTTTCTTATCATTTTAGTGTCCACTTATTAAAGATTTTTTTTTTTTTGGTACCGGGGATCAAACTCCAGACGTGATCCACTTATTAAAGATCTTAATGCCTAGAAAACTTCTAGAACTCTGTCCTAGGGTTCTCACAGGTTGTGTGCATGGTGCCCTCTCTTTGATATAACAGAAATGGTCGTTCCCGTAACTTCACTGGTTAATCATGTTAATTAGTTAATTAGTATTGGAATTTGGGTTTTTTCAACTTTGGATGCTTAATTTCTTACTTTTGTCACAGTATCTCGCACTTGTTTCTAGGTAACTTTTACATTTTACTCTTTAAAAAATTGAAAGCCCTATACTTACAGCATCATATATTTCAAGTGATATACAGTCATAAATATCTAGTGTTTGCTATAACTTGGAAAAATGACTCACTCTGTAAGTAATTTTTTTTGTCTTATCTTTTCAGTACAACAACACTGTAGATGGAGTTTATAAAGTTTTCAATGGAAAAGACAACATAAGTAACGTTGGCATAATTGACACTTACAAAGGGAGAAAGTAGGTATCCAGGTGAAGTGTGTGTCGGTTGCTCAGGGCGGGGCTGTATTCGCCGGCTGGCGATCACAGCACCACCCCAGAAGAGCTGGCTAACATCAGCCTGGACCCCGCTGCTCTGCCCCGCTGGGCATCCGTCCCTTTGGGTGACAGCTGGGAGCTGGGGCAGCGCACGGTGTGTGCTCTGAGCCTGGGTCCTGGTTAGGGTTTGGTTTCCTTCAGGTGCAGCCTCCCTTCCCAGAGAAATGCACAAGGACCATTTCTGCCTCGCTGCATAGACAGCATTATAGTGACTTATCTCACTCAATGAAAAGGAAAAGAATTTGAAAATTTGAAGTGGTAAAAGGACAAAATAAAGCCCTTATTGCCAGGTCATCTGACGGATTCATAAATTACCAAATGTATAAGTAGGGATAATAAAGATCATGGGAGAAACCTTGCTCCTCTAGACCAGTTATTTCCTGATAGTAGAGATCAAAACTGAAGAAGATTAGATGTTTTTATTAATACAACCACTGCCTGAAACTGAGCCCCTAACTAATAATGCCATCTGACAATTAAATACTTACTAAATCTTCTTTCTAAAGAATTGGCAAAGATTTCATAGAAAAATTGGTAAGGAAATCAAGCATTTCTAAGCATTCATTTTGAGGGAAATCACATCATTCTCTATATTAAGGAACAATGGCCATTTCAATATTTTAATGATTGATTTTGAGGATAGCTGTTCAATATTTCTAATTAGAGTTATGGATCACTTTGTGATATGATTATTTGAGTCTCCATAATAGTACTGAGCACGATTAACAGTTTATTCTGCTTAAGAATGATATAAAATCTTGTATTGAAATCTCACTAGATAATATATTAGGAATAAAAACACCCAATTTTTTATCACTAAAAAATGTCAGCAGGGGCAAAGAAATAGTGACTACTGCTGCTTTTTTATTACTTCCCTATATAAGGAGTGATCATAAAATGCAGTGAATATTTAAATTTAAAAATTATTATAATAAAAGACACATTGCTATCAACCCCCTTCAACTAACTGCCCCTCATTATGACTCACTCATCCCATCACCCTTGCTGCTTCTGAAGCAGCTCTGGAGTCCTCTTTTGTGAGTGTCTTTCATTGCACCATCCTGGCTGCCTTGATGTCCTTAAATTGATTGAAAACATTTACCTTTTGCGGTCATTTTGACTTTGGGGAAGAGCCAGAAGGCACCCGATGCCTGCTCCAGTGAGTAGCTGATGAAAGCACACGGTAATATTTTCTGAGCCCGCCTATCCCTCGGATGGCCCTTGGCAGCAACATTCAGTGTATTTTTTATCATAAAAATATCAGAGGACACCAGAACTGCTTCTGAAAGTGCCAACAACAATGAGATAAGGATGGTTGAAGCAAAGATGAGTATTGTGAGGGGATTAGTGGCAATGTGTCTTCTGTTGTGATAATTTTAACAAACTTCAATATTAAGCATATATTTGATCGTACATGGGGTGTGTACATTTGGAGAGAGGGAATGAATGTTTGCATTTATTTAAATACTACAGCATAAACTAAATAAATACTGTCCTTTAATGGCAGTCCATGCAAAAGTTAAATGGGTAAAAAATGTAATATTTACATGTTTTGAATTCTATGGATCTAAACACCTTCTCTTTTATTCTTCCTGTGGCTCCTGTCTTTCACCTCATACTGAGTTTAGGTCAGCATCCCACTTAATGCTTTCCTCCTATTCTGTATGATCACCCAACAGACTACCCAATAATTATTGCATTTGCTGGAAAAGCATTCTCCAAGTAGTTATCTATATTTCTGATAAGGATCTCTCAAATTCTTCTTTCAGGACTACATCTATTCCAAGTTGTTATGATTTAATTATCACTTCGCAGTTTTTATTTTACAACCTGGCCACTTCATGATATCAGGCACTTAATGTATTGCGGTAAGATGAAAAGTTGAAACCAAATATAGGTTGGATGAATTAGAACATTTTTTAAGCTTAGTATTTGTCACATCTAATAGTCATTATGATAACAGAAGTAATGAATCACAATAGAAAAAGTAATGTGAGAAAGGTGATTTTGAAATGAAAATATTTGTTTATCTTTCTTTTTATTCCCTAGGAATCTCACCTATTGGCAAAGCTATTGTGACATGATAAACGGTACAGGTAAGAACTTCTGTAATAATAATCACAGTGAGGAAACTCACCTTTTCCCACAAACCCATCAAGCCTATGGCATTTGCAAGATTGAGGTTATACATTTATGGGTCTTAAATTGCCACAAATAATCCAGTCTCTTTTTTTATGTAGGCGTAGTAAACATCTGCACAGTATGATGGGATTTCTCAAGATGGACTGTTAAGGATTAGCCTTCACTGCACTAAAAAGGAAACCTTTGCTCTGTCAACACTGTAATGAACTACCATCCTGGTGACAGAAATAAGTGGCTAACAAAAAGAAGGAAACAAACTACTCAGATCTCTTCTAAATACTATACAAGTAACTTAGAATTGGAAAATAAACAGAGTTAAGCAAGAGAAAACATACTTTCAGGGCCTCATTCTTTTTTTTTTTTTTTTCCCACTACCAGGGATCAAACTCAGGACCTTGCACACTTGTGAGGCAGGCGGCGGCACCACTGAGCTAAGTCACCGGCCCTAGAATTAAGATTTTTAAAAGTAGTGAGAATCAAATATCATGAAGGAACTAAAATCAGAGATAAGTTTTCAAACTAATGTGAAGCAGAAGTGTAATGTTTACAAAGTAGGCGAAGGGTGCTCAGTACAAAACAATATAATAAAGAGGAAGAAAGTTATGTAACAGGAAGTATAAGGGCTGTTTGCTGCTCCTCAGGCACAATTCAGTTTTGTGTGTTTATTTAGGTTTATTACTGTCTTGCCAGGAAAAAGTCCAGTGAAAACACGACTGGGCATGCTCTGTGGGGTTTTGAGCCATGGAAGTAAAGCTGTCTATCTGCATTTTTGGAAACAAATTGTCAGACGTCTTAATGCTACAAACACTGACATGACTACATGAAACCTAGTCCTCAGAGACAGAGAAATGCATTGTAAATAATGAGGAGTTCTTGCTGGATTGAAGAAAGAACATCATTAAATATTTCTGTTCAAAGTTAAGTAGTTAACAAAAGGACGTAGAGATTAGGAAATTCATTAGTGACAATTTTGCAATTACATGAACGTCAGATATGAAGTTCAAACTATATAAGAGGACATTAGAAGGAAAACAAATAGGAACAGAAGCAGTTGGGCTAGAACCAAGGAGGGTCCCTGTCAGAATCTTGGTAATGGGTCCAGGAAAAAGACTAATGAAACAGGAAGATTACATTGTGTGGTAGAAGTACATTTTCTACCTTCTTCAATAAATGTAGAAAGATATAAAATGGAAATACTGGTGCACATTTAGAGTGTCTCTTTTGTAAAAACAGAACTTTTGATAATATCAGCCATCTTAAGGTCATTAACCATGGTAATTTGGGTGTATGACTGTGATATAATTATATCTCCAGTGCTGTTTTAGATAATGATTTTAAATGTATTTTCCTTTAGTTGTTAAGATATCAGGAGACAACTGTGGGCAGAGCCCAGTTAGGGACCAGTAAGGGGAGTTGGCTTGACTTGAACATTCATCTTCCTCAGGCCAGGATCTGTAAGCACAAGACCATGGGAAATCCGTCATGGTAAAAATCACAAGAGAGAAGTGAAGGCTGACAGAGGCACAGAATTAAAAGAACACTCATAGAAAGAGAATGTGGAAAGCATTTGAAAGACAGGCCTTTCTGTTCTAAATAATACATTCCACGGTGGCTCATTTGGTGACATTCATGAGAAGAAAATGGAAGTGATATCTGATTATTTCTTCATTTATTCCACATGGGCTACGGATTACGACTATAGTAGAAATTTAATAAATGTCTCTTTCAATTTGATAGATATGTTTCCAAAGCATTTACAGGAAATTCTATTTAGAGAGAAAACTTTAATAAGTGGTTTAAAAAATATGAGTCAGCCATTAGTGGAGATGAATGAATTAACATTAACAATAAGACAATGTTGATCTACATTTAGGGTTCGAAATTAACATCATGGTAAGAAAAGTGCCGTTCACTGGTGGGAGGCCATTTGCAAATCACACAACCATAGCTTTAACATCCGATTGCACTACTTTTTATTTCATGCCAATGAATGTGTTGTATGGGAATTTGTTAAACATAACCACATCTAGCCCCGTGTGGTGTATGAAGCACTCACGGGAAATGTGGCCAGAATGACTGAATTGTGCTGGGCATAAACAAATGCACTGAATGTTGAAAATATGAAGTAGCTTCCTCTGATTGATTATATGGTCAAGTGGTAGTATTTTGGACAGAATAGTTTAAATATACCTATCTCTTTATTTTTACAATGACTGTCAGAGTAGGTCATTTTTGAATTATTTATGTGGATGGTTTGTATTGCATTTCTACACACCAGGCTGGAATACTGAGCTTCAGATGGCTCTAGAGTTACATCTAATTCCTTGCCAATGGCTTGATTTTTAAACAGATGCAGCCTCCTTTCCGCCTTTTGTTGAGAAGTCTCGAATATTGCAGTTCTTCTCCTCGGACATTTGCAGGTAAGGAAGTGTGGTTTTTTTTTTTTTTTTTTTTTTTCGGTACTGGGGATCGAACTCAGGACCTTGCGCTTGCGAGGCAGATGCTGGAACCACTGAGCTAAATCCCTGGCCCAATGCAGGTAAGGAAGTGATGCCACCATTATAACTGTGTGTCAAAATTTTTTTTTTCTGCACATGGTAAAATAAAGATAAAACCTTTACATAATAAAGTGGTATTTGAGAAAATAGACTATACTTAGGAAATTATTTTATTTCTTCAAAATAAATGCATCAATTTGGAATTCATAATGTTTAACTCTTGTCAAAAGACCCTTCTGCCTGCTTCAGTCTTTTACAATCAAACCGCTTTGTTTGCCATTCCTAAGAACAGTCTCTTCCTAAAGCCCGACCATAGGCACAGTCATGTCTAGATGGGATCCCCTCTCACCACAGAGGTCCAGAGAAGACGGTGCCCCAGGCTCAGAGCTGAGCTCCATCCTCTGCAGCCCCACAGCACCTCTCCAGACTGGTGGGGCCCCGTGATACCCACATTCCTACCCTTGAGCCGCAGTGCTGTCCCCAAAGACTGTGAGATTGTGAGCAAACATGAAACTTCTCTGAAGTTTTCCTTATCTGCAAAACTGATAAGCCTGTATGGAACAATGGTGCTCTGACCCTGAGATTAAAGCAAACAAGTCCCGAGCTTTGGGACAGAGGCCATGTGACACTTGGTGAAGGGCAGAGGGTGACAGCCACACACCAAGCAGCACGTGCACAGGCTTCCGGCAAGCTGGGGCTTTCTCTCTACTGAGAAGTTCTGAAAGACAAAACTTTTTCGTTTAAACTGTGTACAGGCAAAGAATTTGAAGCAAGTCACGTAAATAATCTTTAAGGGAAATTAACTGTAGTAAGGATCTTTAGGATAAATACTCCACGGTAGGTCATACGGAAAATTTACCCTTAGAAGTTTCTGAGAGCAAAAGTAAGAACATTTCATACTCAGATACTGAGTTCTGGCAAGCCTTAAAATTTCACAAAAACTTTTTTCCTAAGAATTAAATAAGAATTTAAAATTCTAAAACAGTTCTTCTGTCTGCCTGTTTAGGTCAATCTATGCTATATTTGGATCCGAAGTTGACCTGAAAGGAATCCCTGTGTACAGATTTGTTCTCCCAGCTAAGGCCTTTGCATCTCCAATTGAAAATCCGGACAATGATTGTTTCTGCACAGAAAAAATTATTTCAAAAAATTGTACATCATATGGTGTGCTAGACATCGGCAAGTGCAAAGAAGGTGAGTAAAAACGGTCGCTGTCATGGTTTTGACATAATCTGAACTAATCTAAAATCTAACCTGTGCCCAGAATATCTTTCTACCCAAAATTTAAAATTAAAATAATAATGGAGTGAGTTTATGGCAGGAAGGTTTGATGTTGGTTTTAAAGAACATTTGAATCCTCCCTGTGTTTCAGTGTTGGAAAACAGTTATTGGGGAAATCACACCAGTATTACGCTATGCTCTTTCTATGTTTAGGGTAGGATGAAAATTTCCAGAACACGCTCTCTGTGCATCCTAAATTGCTCATATGCCATTGTTCTGGCTTTCTTTTTGGCAACAAAAAATGGCAAAGAGAAGTAAATGTTTTCAATATGTCTCTGCAGCGGGAATTGGCAAGGACACATAGCTCAGAGTCTGTCTTACTCATATTCTTCTTACTGTAACTGCTGTGCATGAAAAAAGACAAAGCTACTTATAAATTAATTCTCATTCCATAGACATATGCTGCCAGAAATATGAAAGAATGAATGTACATATATATTTCAAGCTGCCTACAGCAGCTGAGCTTTGCATATTAAAAATTAACACCTGAAGAATGAATGACAGATATCAATTGACTGGTTAGTAGGGTGACAGAATTTTGTATTCTGTTTGCACAATAGGAACTTGCCATAAATATTCAAAGTCAACTTTGTATTTTTAGAGGAAATATTTTTGAGTGATATGGGAAAGATGAAAACGACTTATCTCCAGTTGACTCTGAAAACTTGTTTTCAGGAAAACCTGTGTACATTTCACTTCCTCATTTTCTACATGCAAGTCCTGATATTTCAGAACTCATTGAAGGCTTAAGTCCAAATGAAGAAGAACATAGGACGTACTTGGATGTTGAACCTGTAAGCAAATATATTATTGATCTAATTTGCTTAATATTTCTCTTTAAAAATCAAATTTAAATTCACTTTGTCATACTTATTGATCACATTTTTTGGATCTCTATTCTTAATAAACTACTGAAAATTTATATCAGTGAAAATTACATTGGTATCTTCCTATTTGGGGGTAGAAATGTCAAGAAAATTCAATTTTAGTTGGAGCAAGTAAAACTTCATAAGTTATTTAATGAGCCATTGATTTGGAAAACTAATGATGAAAACACATCTAATTGGCTTACAATTAGATGATTTGTATATATGATGATTTTTGCTTGTCTTGGACTCAACTGCAGATATTTCCATGAAGGATCATCATATGCTATAAAGGATTAAAAGATTTTATGAGCATATCTAAATTTGGGCCAAAATCTAGTATATTTAGTGTCAGGAAAAATTACAACAATTGCCATCTTACAGCAGTTTCACTCTTTATTTATTATCTTTCCAGAAGTAAAGGAGGGCTGGGCATGATCTGGGTTCAATCCCCAGAGCCATGAAAAAAATTAAATTCTAGATTCTATAGTCACATTTTTTGTTTAATAATAATGAGTAGTAACCTAATAAGTCTGATACATTTGAGTACACATAGCTCAGAAATTAACTCTGAGTGGTTACATTTTGTTACTGCTCCTCCTTTCGATTTTTCTCAAACCATTTTAGATAAATGTCACAAAACTTGACTCTTGATGTTACATTGGCCAAGGAAATTGTGTGTGTAGACACACAGACCTGGAAGATGATTAAATAGTTACATGTGTAATATTTGAGAGGCTCAATTAATTTCTAGTGCCTTCCACTGCTCCTCTTTCAGGTTAAATTCTTCTTAACTTTCTCGCAGACATAGGAAAAGTAAGTTTTGAGTATTATAAATGTGTTTGTTAACATAACATTGGTAAATCTTTTCGTCTGTTATCTTTTTAGTTAACTGGATTCACTTTACAATTTGCAAAACGGCTGCAGGTCAACATACTGGTCAAGCCAGCAAAAAAAATTGAGTGAGTCTCTTTTACATTATTCTACAATGATTTGAATTATTTTCTTATAAAAATGTGAGTAAATCTAAGAAGGTGGAAAGAATATCAAATGTCAACTTCTCTTCAGCTTCATGTCATTATGAAATAACTATTAAATGGTTATGATAATTTCCACTTGTAATTAAGAATCCTACCTAATATTTGTTAAATGGTATATTTATTTTATATTTCAGAATGCTTTTAATTCAGTTTTGTGGTGGTATCTCTTATTTTACTACACATACAATTTTCCTATTGCAGTAATCTTTGGGTCATATTTACTATCCTCATTAGAACTTGTTGAAAAGAAAAATGTATGTTTAGAAAAAGTCAATCTAATTAGAAATTTGCATTAAAACAATTTATGAGTGAAAAGTCTGAATAATATGTTAAAATTTAAATAACTTACTACAGAGAACAAAATCAAGAACCTGAACCAATATACAAGAGCAACTATTTCCTTAAAATTTATTTACCCTAATAATTACTAAAATATTTGTTAAATATGTATGAATATATTGGCACATATTTTCATAATTATGTTCAATGTATATTACAGAACATTAAAGGGCCTGAAGAAGAATTATATTGTGCCCATTCTGTGGCTTAATGAGGTTAGTATTTTAATTTATCAATAATGTCAACTTTTTATATAAAGTTTTGATGTTTCAAAATTATATGTGTATTTAGTATTTGAATTTGTGTGTATTTCCATGCTTATATGGATGAGCCTGCACATTATTGATTATATTTGTTTGAGAAAATCAAATACAAATATTTATTAATTTGGGTTTTCTTTTCTTTCAGAAAGGAAAATAACACTTTAAAATTATATTAAAATACATCTATTACATAGTTTTCTTATCATATTACTTGTTTTAGGAAAGAAGCACATATGCATATAACACAAAAAAATTATCAGAACTCTCCGAATACACTAGTGGTAATAAAGCCAACAGTGCTCATAAAGGTCCACTGAGACAGGGTGGAGCCAGCCTGTCTGATTGCCTGATGAGCTGTTTTTATTGTACATCACTGTGTGGATCCATCATAGAATCACAAAGTGCGCTGCATAAAGCTTTAGAGCAAGTGGAATTGTCCACTTTTGAAATTTCCTCATTACTGGGAAACAATCTTTGGAAAAGTGAAATATTTCAGAGACACAGTTCCGAAAATAGTATGAACCACAGCACCCTGAGGAGTGCTGTACAGCATGTTTGAAGGGAGGTCGATTGTTTCTTTATTTTGGCATTTGGCACGTTTCCTTTGAAATGCAAAAGGGATTCCACAGGCTTATGCTTTAGACACAGAGGACAAACACCCGCACAGATGTGAAGGATAGCATAGAGAGAGTTTGAGCATTTTGTTTCACTGTCTACCTAAATAATGTTAATTATTGCTTTGGTTACAGACTGGTACTATTGGCGATGAGAAAGCAGAAATGTTCAGAAAGCGAGTGGCTGGAAAAGTAAAACTGCTTGGCCTTGTGGAAACAGTCTTGCTCAGTGTTGGGGCAGTGATGTTTGTCTCCTTCATGATTTCTTACTGTGCATGCAGAACACAGAACGTGAAGTGAGTGAGAGCATGCCAGAAGTGTGTGTTGCCTAACTAATGCCTATTTAGCCTTATTTTAATTCTGCCAAACTCATACATCGTATGTTGGGACATACATATTTCTGGACATGTCTAGCCAATTATTATTTCTTAATTTGTCCTCCACTGTTTGAGGTTCTTAATATAAATTTAGACACAAACAAAGGCTGAATGAGCACGAGATCTGTAAATATCAAACAGATTACTGAACTGCACCTGTAATGCTGAGAGGAGCGGTGAAAAATGATCTAATTGTGACCCCTGTAAAATTAGCAAAAAGATAATTTGGATCTTGTTCATCTCTTGCTTATTTGTATCTAATTATAAAAACTTACAAATAAATAATTTATATCACTGAGTAGAAAGAGGTATGTACAATTAAACACTTTGAAGATGTAGGTGGATTGAGATTTAAAAGGGAAAGAAAAAAATCAAAAGACCCAATAAAAGATGGGGATCAATATAAAAATGTATGTTTGGATGAAGCATGGAAGTGAATTGAGATAAGGTAAATATTAAACAGGAAGGCTACCTGTGGACATGCTGGCTAGGTCTCATGAACACACTGTTTGCCCCTGCAGATCCTGTGTTGACTCCCATGAAAGTGTCATCACTCCTTAAAGACCCCAAGTGTCAGATTGTTTGTACCCATGTATGGCTAAACTATACAGGAACTGGGAGTTGCTGGTGTCTTTGTCAACAAATATATTAGTTTTGCTGTTATATTCTTTGTTATAAGAAAAAATGATTGCCTTATAAAACTCTTCTTTACCAATTATTTGACTTACTAGGGTTAGAATTACAGGAGGTATGTTTCCTAAAACCTCAGTTTTGAATACTCCAGAAGTTATGTATCTGGGAGCATTTTGTGAACAACTGAAAAAAGTAAGGCAATAGATGCACAGGAGGGAATAAAGTATAAGACGGTAAACTAACGAGGACTTTATCCACTGTGTCATGAAAAGAACGCACCAGAGCTCCTTCTGAAAGGAACGACATGCGCCCCTCAGCATGGGAGGTGGTTAGGATGTGGGATGCCTCTTCCAGCACAGACTTACTCAGCTCCCCTTCCTTGTCTGTCATTTGCTTCTCTGAAGAGTCATAGAGCAGTCTGAAATGTGTCCCTGTGTCCTTGGATGGGAACATGTCTCATAGATGAAGTTCATCATAGAACTTTTCCCTTGAGAAGTTGGGCTGCATAATGGAGATCTCATATCTTGGATATATAGTACTCAGTTTTTACCTTATTACTCCTCTGCTTTCTGCTAAATAATGCCATTCTTTCTGCTTTACAGGTAGTAAATGAGTCTACATTTATGTAGCAGCTATGTCAAGACCTTTGGTAATATTGACCGATGACATGGAGATTTAATATGCTTTATTTTTTATAAAATACACCCTTTCTTTTAGTTAAAGAAATGGTGGTGCTCTCTCTATATATATTTTGCACGAAGCTGCAGCACTTTTTAAAAGGATTAAGATGTCATTAAAATCTATACTTTGTACAAAACCATCATTCTTCATACAATTGAGTTGCTCTCAGTTTCTAGCATGAACCAATCATTTCATTTGGTTCTGATTCATGGATTTGTTCCATGGTGGTGAACTCAGCAGAGGCATGGATGTTCTGGGAAAACCCTGGGTCTCCGATTCCTGCTTCCTTCACCAAAGGGCAAAAGGATCATATGTGGACTGTCCCTGTTCAGTTGCTATTGGCAGACCACAGGGCTGTCACTGCATTGTCCTGCCTGAGCACAGATAATGAGATGCTTAATAATGGAAGATGTATGAGAGGCTCTGAACCACCATCAACCACCATCGTGCACCATGTCAATTTCTTTCTTGAATGAACCCTTTGTACAGCAGCAGTAGACACCATAATCATGTTTTACTTCATAACAATGGTCTTGTATCTTTTGTCACTCATACAAATGGAAATCATCCTTAGTTCGCTTCAGCTCCTCCTATTGTAAAGACTTTGCTATTTTCCATGTTGTTTAGGTCTTCTGGAAGTCTGAATATATTCTGGTCTTTCTACTCAGTTGCAGCTTACACCTGGCAACCTCAGAATGCTGTTCTAATAAAAGAGATATAAATGATGATAAAGGAATTATTGTATGGCTATTACAAAGAGTAGAATGTGCATAAAAATATACTTCTTGTAATATTTCTTGCTTTCATAGTCACTTCAGAAGGACTGGTTTCAACCATTAAAAGTTTTCTTCCTAAAATGCTAATGTTTTGCCTAATTTCTGTTGTATTATAAAGCATTAACTCTAGTTTTCTGCTTCCAGTATTTTATCTGAAGTTGTATTTCTTTCTGAATTCCATTATAAGCACTTACTTATAGGCTACTTTGTAAGCCAATTGGGGAAAGAGAAAAAAAGAAAAAATAAAGACATTTGGTTTCATCTTTTACAGCGTGGTGTGAGACTTGGGTTATTTTCTTATTTGGGGCCACATTAATGGGCTTTTCTGCTCTTGTTAGCAGTGAGGGTTCACTCTTTGCAGAGAGCAGCAGCCCTGAAAAGCTGTGACAGAGAAAGGGATTATAGGTACAGGAGAAGTGAATAGTGACTCACCTGTTCAGATTGAAAAGAAATAAGTTGGTGTCCTTCACAAGCTGTCAGAGTAAATGTTGAAAATTCCTATTGAAAGCCCAAACTAAGAGAGTGCCTCTTTGAAGGGATCTTTGGAATCTCTGAAAATACTCAAAGCATAATGATTTGTACTTTTTAATTGGAAGGGGGGAGACATCAGCCTGAGATACTGACATGGAAGATAAGTGTCTAGACATCTCCCTTGGGAACTTCAATCTGTGCCCTTTGCACTAAGATATTTGTAGATGAAACATAAAGGACATAGAGACATAAAGGACATTTTAAAAATATCTTATGTAAGACCGTGGGCCTCACCAAACACTCCAAGGAGCTGACTACAGCAAAGATCACCCAGGAGGGAACACACCTGACAAGTTGTGAAGGTAAAACAGACCTTTATTATTCTGCCCAGACAGCACCCTCCAAGCACCAAGCTTAGAGAGGCACCCAGCTCAGGGACTGAGGTCTTTTTATAGGGGTCACAAGAGGGAACTTGGCAAGCAAAAGTACAGAAGCGAGACGTTGGCGGTTGGGGGAGTGTAGCAACCAATCTTTACATAACAGGCATAAGGCTAACTTGCGGTTTCCTTGGAACAGCAACAAGTACATTCTGGGAACTTGGCATTCCCACGGTGAAGTGTAACAGAAGCAGACAAGATGGGGCCTTATTACAAAATGGAGTAACTTTTGTTCAGTCTCACTCTTAACAGGTGGATGAATGCAGTTGAGACTGTTACAAAGCCCTGGGCTGTGTTCCATACACACTCCTGCTCCCTAAGATGAATGTGAACCTGACACACTGCCCACGCGTCCTCATAAAATAAAAGAACTCAGTGAGGAAAGGCATCTCCTCCTCATACGAGGTTTGTGTATCCAATCCTGACCCAGCTCTTGTTTCATATCAAAATTCAATTCATGGCCTTAAATACCATAGAAAAGACTGCACTGCGTCTTTCCTGTTGTTTAAATATATGCATATTCCATCCTTAGCATGCTTCCGAATTTCCCTCCTCAAATTCTATGAAATGTGTAAAAGAGGGAAGAAAATCTATACAGAAATGTAAGTAGAGTATATACTAAGATGTCCAGTAGCAAACATTCTTCTTTAAGGAATGAATTTGTTATACGAAAGCCATGGGTTTGAGGGAACTAGTGGAGCAGAATGGTGAGGAGCAATCGGTCCTCTGAGAAACGTCGAGAACACGTGCTCACACAAAACACTGCAGAGTCTCACAGGCATCAGCAGGACCTTGGAGGGCCTGGTGCAGCACAGTGCCAAGACAGGTGGCACTGAGGAGAGCAGGAAGGGCAGTTCGCTGTCACCCCACACAGCCCTCCAACCTGGGCAGCACAGCAGGAGAGAAATACTCGCCCACACAAGTAAGACCACGTGGGGCTGCGCGCTACACCCCAACGCAGATGTTGTGGGATGAAAGGCAGCACTGGGTGGACAGCACCACTGTGATTTGAGGCCCGGTTGCACAGGCCTGCCCTGACCTTGCGAGGAGGACGGAGCCTCCAGGCTGCAGCACTGCAGCAGAGGACCACGCCTTGGGCTGCAGACCACACTCAGAGGCAGCGGAGCTGGGGCCAGACCCCACCCCACCCATGCTGCCCCTGCCTTCATGGCCACTGAGGCCAGCCAGGTGTTCCTTGGGCAGTGTTATTGAGCCCAGCACTGCAGCAGGCACAGAGGGTCCCAGATGGCCAGCCTGAGTTTCAGGACCAGCTGGCTTCAGGAAAGGCAGGCTCAAGGACAGCAGTGAGCACCCACTTCGAACAGGCAGACATTGACTGTGGCCACAGGGGTCAGAAATATTCAGGAAGTGTAAGTGCCAGGGAGACAAAGTGGAAAGAAATGGAGACTGAAAAGAAATGGGGATGCATGGACCCTCTGGCAATTCAAAATACCTGCCCTAGAAAAGCTCAGAGAACTTCAAAAAAGAACAGAAACCATTCCAAGAAATAAGGAAATAAGGTATGTCCAGATTGAAAATTTAACAGATTGAAATAACAATAAAAATTTCAGAGCTGAAAATACCATGACATATTTAAAACACAAGGATAAAGCATCTCAACAAATCTGATCAAGCAGAAGGTAAACTTGACAGCGGGTTACTTGAAAATGCAATATTCCTTTGATATCTGGGTGTTCAACTCCCATCTATTCAACAAACTGTGGATCAAAAATATTTAGGAAAAAAGCATTTGGACTGAATATGTACAGATGTTTTCATTATTCCCCAAACAGCATGACTCTTTACCTATCATTTACATTCTATTAGGTATTACAAACAATCTAACAATGGTACTAAAATTTACGGAGGATGTGTGTAGGATATATGCAGATGTTGCACCATTTTCTATCTGCAGATTTTGGTACCTGTGGGATACCAAACACGGACCGAAGCCCAGGACTGGAGGGATTCACAGCTGAATTCCAACAAACATTTAAAGAACCAATGCCAAGTGATCCAGTTCCTTTTAAATCTTTAAAAAACTCAAAAAGAAAGGAATACTTTCAAACTCATTTTATGAGGCCAGCATTACCCTGATAGCAAAGCCAGAAAAACATACAACGAAAAAAGGAAACCATAGGTCAATATTCCTGATTAGTATAGATGTAAAAATCTTCAGCAGAACACTAGCATTTCTGTGCTTGTTTCGGCAGCACATACACTAAAACACTAGCAATCCTAATTCAACAGTGAATTAACACATCATTCACCATGACCAAGTGGGATTGGTCTCAGGCATGCAAGGATGACAAATCTTACACATCAACTGAGCATGGTGCATCAGGTTAACACAAAGACAAAAACCACAGGACCACCTCAATAGATGAGCAGAAAGAATTTGATGAAATTCACTGATCTTTTCATGAGAAAAAATTTCAAACAATTAGGTAGATAAGGAATGTTCTTCAACACAATAAAGTGCAAAAACAATAAACTCAGAAAACATTTTTAGTGGAGAAAAACTGAAAATTTTCTTCTAAGTTTCAAAATACCAATGCCTTCTATTCAATATAGTGCTGGAAATTCTATCTAAAGCAATTAGTCAAAGGAAAGAAATAAAAATACATCTGTTATGGCTTGTATTTAAATGTCTCCCAAAGCCTCACGCACTCATAGGTGGGGATGGTGGGAGTGATATCAGATCATGGGTGTGTGATACTGGATTAGTCTGCTCATGGGTTTATAGCCCAGTCAGATGTTGGAAAGTGAAGCCTAGTGAGAAGAAGTACCTGGGAAGTGTATAATATTACTCATCCTCTCTTGATCCACTACTTAGCCACCTGCCTACCCTGCCATGGACTGCTTCTCTTATGCAATGTCCCTCTGCCGTGTTGCCCTGCCTTGGGCCAGACAGTTATGGACGAAAGCTCTAAAAACTATGTGTCAAAATAAATCTTTCTCCTCTAAGTTGTAGGTGTTGGGTATTTTGTGTCAGCAACAATAAAGTAACTAAGACAGCATCCAAATCAGGAACAACGTGAAATTATCCTTGTTTATAAATAACAGGATCTTAGAAATGGAAAACTCAAAAGTTTCCACCAAAAAAATTATTACAACTGATAAATTTGGTTAATTTGTAGGACATTAACATGTAAAAATCATTTGCATGTCTATTTATTAATGGTAAATTACCTGAAAAAAAGAACTTGAAAAAAATTCCATTATACATTATTATACATTAGCAATGGTGGTGCATGCCTATAATCTCAGAACTATGGGAGGCTGAGGCAGGAGGAATTCGAGTTTGGGACCCACATGGGCAACTTAGTGACTTAGTTACCTGTCTGTCTCACAATACATAAGTAAAAGGACTGAGAATGTAGCTCAGTGGTAAACCCCTGGGTTCAATCCCCCATATCACAACAAACACCAAATAAGTGAAAGATCTGTAAACTCAGAACTACAAAATATCTATGAAAGAATTTAAAAAGACACAAATAAAGGGAAAGCTACTTCTTGCTCATGGATTGGAAGAATTAACATGGTTCAAATATCCATACTATCCCAATTAATCTACAGACTCAATACAATTTAAACTATCAATGATATTCTTCACAAGAATATGAAAAAATTCCTGACATTCATATAGAAATACAAAATAATCAAAAGCCAAAAGAAAGGTTGCGGCAACATAGTACCTGACTCCAAAACACACTACAAATGATACGAACAAAACAACTCAGTGCTGATATAGAAACAGAGAGCCCAGTGGAGCAGAAGAGAGGCCAGAAATAAATCCAAACACTGAGAGCCAGCTGCGATTTTACTGACTCGCCAAGCAGGATGTGGAGAACACGGCATAGCCACTCTGAGTAAAATTAGACCCTTATTTCACACTTTACACAAACCAATTCAACAGAACACTATGATGGATTAAAGACTGAAATGTCAAACCTGAAATTATGGAACAAAACAATAACCTAAGGGAAAAGATTCAGGACATTGCTTTGGGCAATTTTTTCAAAGCACCGATACAAAAGCAAAAATAGAGGAATGGGCCTCCCTCGAACTGAAAAGCTTCTGTGGAGTCAAGGAAATAATGGCTAGAACGAAGAGTAAACCAGCAGAATGGGAGAAAAGACCGGCAAAGTGTACACTGATGAGGAAGACCAGCCAGAACACGCGAGTGTCTTTAGTTGCACTGTTGCAGCTGCCTGAGGGCCCTGAATCAATTCGCAATGCCGGCCTTTGTGGTCCTGTGATTTTGGGGAGGAGCCGGAAGTCACCAGAGGCTAGGTCTGTGCCTGAGGTGGAGGGAGACAGCGAGCGCTCCTATGAGGCTGGCTTTCCACTGCCTCAC